ACCATCTTGTGCCCCTGGGCTGTGCGCGGGTGGGCAAAGGGCAGGTGGTCTCTAGGGGGGCTTGTAACCATCAGGTAGCTTTGTCTGATTGTCCCCAAATTACTGCAGATAAGAAGAGCGTGGAATCCCGCACGGATCACAGCTTGGAAATCGGTGACAGACACCTGAAGATCGTCATCCAGGCGGGAGAAGGGGAGCAGAGCGGGAGCCCGTTCACAGAGCAGGGCTCCCCCGGGCACTCCCTCCCTGCCAGCTCTTCCCCACCGCCGCAGAGGCTGGAGGAGCAGCAGGCAGCCCAAGGCCATGGAGACACGGCGAGAGAAGTCATGACGAAAAAGGTACATCAGGAAGAGCAGTAACAATCAGTGTCACAACCCGCCCTGCCTGTAGGTCCACCAGTCCTTTGCATTGCTTTCTGTTGCACTTCAGTATTTCATGCCAAGCAAATACCAGTTACATTATCTTAGTCAATAAAACAGGGGCAGGGAGTGACTTTGGAGTGCCGGACCACAGGTCATCCACACGCATTAACAGGCAGCGTGTTCTCCAGCGTGGCTTTGGCACGTGCCACCCACTGCTCCCCAAGCAACACCCTGTCAGGTTTTGGGGGGTAGTGTGCACCACAGACTGCACCGAAAAGGTGGAAAAATTGTATGAGATTGGATCCCTCCCTGCTGTGCAGATCTCTAACACTGCTTCAATATGTTTTGTACTTTCCAGCTGCCCTAATTACTTCCATTCCTTACCTCAGTACAAAAATCTGCTCTGATGGTATGTAGCACAGCAAACATTATTTTAGACACTTCGAACTACAGAGAAAAAGAAAAGATAAACCTTGTGTTAGGACATGGGGTAGGGCCAGGCTACATGTTACATGATGTGGATATGGCTTTTCTGAGACACTGATACCTGGCTCAGAGGATTTACCCTGTTTTGCGTAGTGGCATAGGTATAGTTTTTGAGGTATAGCATGTGCTAACGTGGTGGTTATCTGACATCTGTAGCAGTGTGCTGCAAATTTCCCTGTCCTGTCTGTGCAAAGTAGAGATGTGAACATGTTTGTTATTATTATTTTATCCTGTTTTCTTCCTTAACCTTGAGTTACTAAAGCATGACTTTAGGGAATTTTTTAAAGAAAGATAGTAGAGAAAACTGGAAAGTCTGATATAGTTAAAGAACAATGTAATAAAACTTATCTGTGCTGTTAAAACATGTTGTACCTCTGTCACTCGACACTAAGGGGTCAGGCAGGTTCTTGTGGAGATCCTTGGCAGAATGATGATGGCAATAAGATGTAGTTACAATTAAAGCTTTATTGTTTTAAACAGGATTTTATGATTGGCATAGCATAGAAGTAACGATCAGAAAGCACAGGATTTCTACAAGCAGAATCAGTTTGGTACACTTTTATAAGCAGTGGAGCACAGGATTTTATAGCACAGCTTAGTTTATGGTTTCTAATCCCCTGGATCCTCTGCAGATCATGTCAAATCTTAATACTTGGCTTGCTGTATCAATGTAACAATCATCATCTAGACTCGAAAAATACGTAAAAGAATACGAGTAATTCACTTAGTCCTCGGAGGAAGCAGAGGACGGTGGAGGTGTCTTGGCTACTGGCGGGATCATGGGTCTTACTGTCCAGCAGCAGTTGCAGTCCAAGTTCCCACTTAGGACCTGTAACTCCTTGATTTTGTAGATAGTTCTATAGACAGAGCGTGTGCTGTTGTGCTTCTCTTTTCTGTGATGGGGTCATTGCCACCTGCTTGGCAGGGTGCCTGGGACCTTTAAGGCTGGTAAGGAGGGGAGTAGTTGGCCTGATGCCCAGGAACCTTGAGGATGACAGGGAGGGGAAAAAGAAATCTGTTTGCCTCGTCTGCTTGGTGCACAAGACCTTCGGGGCCTGATAATGAGGGGAAAAGGGACTGATATGTGACCAGCTTGGCGACAGATAGCCATTTGCCTTATAAAATGGTGCTAGTTCTGCTAACCATATTACCAGAGGTCAGGAGCAGGGGGTACTGCTCAGAGTCTCGAACTATGTGGCAAAGTTATTGTCTTTGTTACTTCAATGCTGATGTTGTTAACAAATTTCATTTTTGCTGCTGACTTAGAAGCAGATTGCTTTACTTACATTTGTGCAATGTCAGTATACATGGCATAAAAGAAACACTGTGTGTAAATACGTCTATAGTAATCTGGCCCTACTGAGACATATACAGCTTTTCCTCACTCAAAATACAGAAGCAGCAAGTAGAGAACCTTAGAAAAAACAAATACTGATATCTTCTTGTCTTCTCTTTAGATATTTCTTACAGTATCTGCAACTCTGAATGCCAGTATGTTCACTGAACAGCAAAGGGAGAAAATTACTGTTATATGTCCAAATTTAAAAAGAGAAGGAAATCCTGATATTGATGGCTCTGAGAAATTGACGGGAGATTTTACAGATATTGAAAAAGCTTATCACTACTTTAAGGATACCCTTGCAGGCAATGACCCAAACCATGATTTTTCACGTTCTGAAAGTAAAAATGGTTTGGAAGATGAAAATGGCCTGAATACTGAAGAAATGGATGAGCTTACAGTTCTGACAGGTCTCTATGAATATTTCAGTCATACCCGCAAAGAACAAATCAAAGTACTACGTGAACATTTTGGAGTGTGTATAAGAAGTAAAGATCATTACAACGGATCGACCTCAGTATGCTTCACTTCTGATAAAAGTTCCGCATCAATACAAAGAGCTAAGGATTTTTTTATCAGAACTTTTCAGAAAAGTGTAGAAGATCTGAAACAGGAAAAAATTCCCCTAACAAGCAGTTACACATTAAATGAGACAATAATGAAATTAAATGCTAGGTTTAGTAATCTTCTTGCCAAAGAGGAAGGGAGTCACTTGCTACTCCGTGGTCCAGCAAGTGAGATAGTAGCTGCCAAAAATTTTCTGAGAGAGGAAAGTGAGAACAGCCAAGCTGAAAAGAATATTAAAATATCATCTGAACTGTACAAATACAGGAATGGAATTAAAGTTGATGCTTCTGTGTTTAAATTGTTGGAAACAATATTAAACAAAGAAATTGAAGACATTAAAGAGAAATTTGATACAGTAATAGAAAAGAAAGACAGTTCATGTGGCCGTACGATGCTCATAATATTTAGGCCTAGGTTCAAAACTGCTGATAGGTCTTCACATGCTACTGAAAGTTTCATAAATGCATTTCAGAGTGCCTCTGCAATGTTAAGAGAAAAAGTCATCAGCTCGAAGCTTTCAGAAGGTCAGAAGAAAAGATTAAATATGCTGCTTAATGGAAAACAATTGGAAGATCTGCATGTAAAACTTCAGAAGAAGGAAGACAAATTCATCTTAAGTGGTTTACCAAACCAACTTTATGCTGCTGAAAAATACATTATGAACCTTCTTAACACTGAAGACTCAACACAAACTAAAAATAGGACACCACTGTCCTCTGATCTCAGCTATCAAGAATCTACAGGAGCATCTGAGAAGAAATACAACGGCAGACAAAAGAATAATCTTTCTTCCGAAGGACAGCCTCAGGCAAAGACAGAGGAAGAAGACAAAGATGTCTGTCCAATTTGCATGGAGACAATTAATAATAAAGAAATACTGAGAAAGTGCAATCATGCATTTTGCAAAAGTTGCATTGACCGGGCCATGACTTATAGGCAAACTTGTCCTGTTTGTAATACCGTCTATGGAGTCATGAAAGGAGACCAACCAGAGGGAACAATGTCAACTAGAGTGATGGCTTTCTCTCTCTCTGGCTATCCAAGTTGTGGTACTATTGAGATTAAATATGATATGCACGGTGGTATTCAAACTGTAAGTGTATTTAAAGATTTATAAGAGATATTTTTCCTCACAAGAAAACCAATATTGAATATAAAAATAACTATTTTTCCATAATTTTAATGAATATCCAGGAGAGACATTTCTTTGTTCTGTACAAATCTGCAAGTATTTAATTCGGTATTTTTAGGTGCAATTAAGTAATATAGTAGGAACTAAATAGTCAAATGGTAGCCCTCCATTATATACGCACCAGGACAGAGCTACCTGTCTTTAATTTGTACATTGGGAATAACTGAACTAAAATCTATAGAGTGATATCATGTTAAAAAAAAAAATTTGCAAGTATATTGAGGATTCTCTGAGGTATTTTCTTAACTGCTGACTCCAATGAACAAAAATGAATAGCAGACTGGCTTATAAGGTTTCCAGGTCATAAATCAGTTTATGGTATGTGCTTAGAATCATGACTAGGACTGAAAATGGGATAAATGAAAAAGTTGGGGGTGGCGTGACATGCATTTGGGAGAGCAAAGAGGAAAAAAAAAATAACAATGGGTGCATGAGTGATGACAAGAAAATGTGGTCAAAATGTATGAAATAAATTATGTAATGAGAAAAAAACTCATTGGAATCGGTCATCAGTCGTGCTATGTCCTTCTGAATCAAAGACAGAATTAAAAGTATTGTGAAAGCTGGGACGTGTGCTTTTCACACTTTCAAAGCATTTATGATATACAATGTGTTTTTGTTCTGTTTTTCTACAAAACAGAGCAACCATCCAAACCCAGGGAAACCTTATTCTGGAACTTCTCGAACAGCATATTTACCTGACAATAAAGAAGGGCGAGAAATTCTGCAGCTCCTCCAAAGAGCCTTTAAGCAAAAATTGATTTTCACAGTGGGGCACTCACATACTACTGGTGCACACGGTGTTATCACATGGAATGATATTCACCACAAGACTTCCATAAGTGGAGGACCAACCAAGTAAGTAGTCTTCTCTTTATGTGATTTTATTGTTGCTCAGATGTGGCAGAAAAGCTGCTCCGAATATTTTCCACATTAGGGCTTTCAGATTTTGTCACTAACAAAGTGACTGTGGAATGCTCTGTGGACTTGAATCACCTTCACCAATTTGGACAGTTGGAACAAGGATGAGCTCAGTCTTCTCCTGCCCCTCAGGCCACTCATTCACCAGTGAGTTGTGTAAAGTACCTCCTCAGTTAATAACTGCCCTGATTAGAAACTGCTTCTAGGAAGGACAGCAACCTCCTGATGGCTGCTAAGGTTGGACTTGTGATCTCAGGCTGTTCTGTTACCTGCTGTTTTGCACCAGGTGGTGCTGGTCCATTATTAGCCCAGTAAAGAACATGCTCAGACTGTGTGAAGTCTGTAAAATGCAGCACAGCATGGCACAGGCCTGAGCCTGCCCCGGTTAACTGTTACGTAGATCACTAATTCCTCAATGTATAACGGGCTTCCGGTCGGGATCACTACGTTCCACCCCTTGATGCACATACTATTGACCATTCATACAGATTTTGTTTTCTCTGTAGGGTAGGAAGTAAGTGGATGAAATTTGTAAAGTGTTTTAAGAGATTTTGATGAGAAGGTTCTGTAGAAGTGTCAAGTGCTTCGTTGCAGAAGTAGCCCAAACAATTCTTTTCTTCTTCTCGTAGTTTTGGTTACCCTGATCCTGATTATCTGCAGCGAGTTCGATCAGAATTGAAAGCAAGAGGAATTGAATAACAAAATTTGTCGACCGTCAACTCTTAAGTGTAATAATCGAACATGTAGCCGTTAACTTACTATTCATCACAAGGAAGAAAGAAGTTACTTTGTTCAACTGCCGTACTTAAATCACTTGTATGTTCCAGTCAGCTAAGAAAAGTAATCTTTTTTCATCAAATTATATATGTTGTTTTTACACATCATTTACTTCCTTGAATAACGCTTCCCTCTATGATTAATCTTTACAGAATCTGGATCTTGTGAGTCCAGCATCAGTACCTGTTGTGCTTGTCAAATATCAAATTGTGTATCTTATTTTACCAGTGAATCTGATCTGCATTTTTCCCCCGTAAGTCTTAAGTCTGATCACCAAAACTGATAGATCCACTACTAGCTTTTATTCGATCAAATGTTTACTTTAGCTTTGTGTTATGACGTGTCATCATGGATAGCAACATGTAACCATCTGCTAGAAAATTTTTATGCAGCTGTTATAGTATCAGCTGTGATCAGGCTATGATCTTTTGCTTCTTTTCAGGGTAGTAATGGCATTAGTAGTTTAGGTTTTAAACATAAAATTAGTGCAGATAGTGTATGAGGGGTATTTTTAACCCTGCAGAAGTGCTGAATGCTCAGAGCCACGTTGGAGCAGAGGGAAAGTAACAGTGCCTGTGGCCATCTCTGATAATGGGGTCCTGGTTCCGTGCCTTCCATCGTTTTTAGGCTTAAATACAACTTTTAAGTCATCTTTGCAACTATAAAACTATGTTCTTCCCATTGCTACCAATATGTGGTTTAAATTGTATTATAAAGAGACTTTGTTGCTACTCTGCACTGTCTGAATAGCCTGCTACTGGTGGCTTCACACCTTTGTGGTGGCGTGAAATAAATAACATTCACTTAATGCAACCGTAATTGTTAGTGCGTTAAACTGTTTTTGTTAGGCTATTGAATATAACTAATAAATAAAATATAGAAATATCATCTGCTTGGTTCTGTATTCTTCTGTACAGGTTTTTCCTGCTGTTTTAGATACTTACAGTTGTATTTTTTTTTTTTTAATTTAGGAGCTTCCCAGCAATGCCATAATTTGGGATGGTGTGGACCCCATGCCACCTCCTTTATTTTTTTTTTAAGGTTCCCATATTGTGAATAGGCAGTACGACTTGACCACCCACCTTGACTTTCAGATTTTGTAGTTTCAGGCACTGTTTGGTTTCCATGTGGGCTGGGCTGACTTCCCTACTGTGGCTTTGTTTTACCGTATTTGTTTTTACATTTTACCCTGTTTCATGTTTCCTCCCTTTTCTAGGCGGTAAGATACCAACACTCCAGTTGTTTCTAAATGACCTTGTTTTTCTGCACACTGAAACAAGCTGTGAAGATCCAATCTCCCCAGCTTCTTTCGGTCTCTCATTTCACTTTCTGTCCCAATAAGCCAGCTCACCGATGTCAAACCCCTGTCTGATACTTCACCGGCTCCTATTTTATCTGTGGCAAAGTTTGCAGGCTGATTTTTGCAGCAGAGTCCTATTGACTGTCACTGAAAGCTCCCAAGCCTTTATCCTATAACCAGCTGTAGAGACCTTTATTTTCTAACCATGGCTGTACAGTTTAGGAATAAATCGACCCGATTTGCAATCAAAGTCAGTTATTTTGCCTGGGTTACAGTGAGGGTGGAGAGCATGCCCCTGGGCTAGCTATAGAGAGAGCAGTGCATTAGGAAACAAAAGAAGAACCCCAACAAGAAACAAAGGCAACCCCGTGGGTGCGCTCAGCAGCGTGTCTGACAGCACCTGTGTTTAGCTGACATTCACCCACGCTTGTCATCGTTAGTGACATTTGGTTAGTATGCAGTTCCTCAATGAACTTTCATTGAAGTTAGGGGTGGGAAATGTAATTTATCTGTTATTTCAGTGTCTCGTATTTGGGCACATTAGTAAAATAAGCAGCAAGAAGTAGCTGAACGCTGCAACCTTCGCAAGGGGAAGTCTTACACGGTTGTAGAAGTATTTCTGACAGGGAATGATGGAAAGGGGGAATTCTACATTGCGTCACGACTCGATTTGAAAACATGACACAGCAAGAGTGTGGTCTGTACTACCCAGTGCCCCACGGTTATAAGCTCAGGCCCTGAACACAGCTGTATGTGTGAGATAGGTTTGTTGTACCACTCTGGGGAAGCACAGCGCTGT